CTTCTTGAAAACCTCCCATAATTGCTTGTTTCCGGTAATGTGGGCCTCACCTCACCATATCTAATGGGAGCCCTGGCCCGGATTCCAGGAATGCTGTGCCAGAGAGGCCTGGGTTGTCTCACTCACTGCTTATTAACATGAGCTCTCCCTGCCTCGCCTGGGAAGCAAGAACACCCTGTCTTCCTGACATGGCCATGTCCTTCTGGGTCAGGAAGTAAGAGCATCAGTCTGGTAGGGGAGATTTGCTCTCCTCCACCTGGCCCTAGAGCCACTGAACACTAGAACATGCTTATGCTCCATGCCTATAAACTCTCCAATAAACTGAAATACTGTATTGTAACACACAAAGCCACGAGGAAGAAAAGAAGCCATGGTTGAGAATTTATCAAGTCCTAGCAGATGGCTAAGAAATTTAAATCTGAACTGAAGCTTTATAATGAGGGGATACAAGGACCTAGAAGTGAAGCTTTCAAAAATCCAAAAGGAGGGGCTGGCAAGATAGCTCAGTGGTCTAAAGCCCCTGATTAGGCAAACTTAGGCAACTGCAGGGACCACAGTTCCATCCCTAGTACCACCTACCTCACCAGCCCTGCCCCCAGGGCAGGCTGAGCTGGTCACATGAAAAAAAGAAAAAAAAATCCAAAAGAATAGCTAATTTAATAATATATTTTAGATATGACATGATAGGCAACCAAAATTATAAGAGATATATTTAAGATGCTTTCTGTTCAAAAGATTTCAAGGTTCTACATAGTTGAGTGAACTCGGATTCCTTTCTGTTTTCATGCTTGTAGGTAGGCCAGTGTTTCCTATGTTTTCAGAAGTTTCACAGAAGCTGACGACTAACAGATCCTCGTTGCCAGCCCAGACCTCACTCTCGAGCTCTAGGCCCAGATGGCTGAGCTTTCAGGCCATGTGTGTTAGTCATCCCCCACCCCATCCTGCTGCTGCTTTTCTATCTTGAGTCTCATGAGATGTCAATACCTTCTACCTGCATGTGCAGGTCAGGAAGGCCACCACTACCTTCTACCTGCATGTGCAGGTCAGGAAGACTACCACATGCCTTCCCAGGGTTCTCTTTTCTTCAGCGTGATAACTACTCATCTTTAGAGCTTATGGATTGGGCTGCTACCCCGACTCTATCTTCACCTCCACCTGAGTTCTCTTCTCTATAGGAGAATGGCTTTTTACCTGTTTTCCCCTTCCCAGATCTTGCCCCTGTTCACTGTACTCTCCATAGCCAGGTGGACTGTTCTAAAAGACATCTTTGCCTTGCTCTATAACATGCACTTTGCATTTCTCCACATCTTTGCATTACCACTACTCATCCTGCCCAAGATACCTTTCCTCATACCTTCCTTGTAGTTAATTTCTGCATAGCCTTCACAATCCATCTTCTTCCATGAACTGGCCTTCAGGTTAGCAATCCCTTCTGTGTATCCCTACAGTAGACATGGTTTTATTAGCTAACAATATTGTAATTTCACTCTCCTCTCTTGCCCCACTGGAATAAGGGATCCTGGAGGCTGGAAAATGCTTGGTGTAACCAACTATGTTTTTTCATCTCTCAATTCCCAGAGTCATACAATAGCACAGGCTCTGGCTATTATATATCTTCAATAAAGTTCTGCTGAGTGAATAAATGAAATGCTCTAGAATGAGGTCATGCATTTTTATGCAACATCTTGCTGGAAACCAGGCTAAATGAAGGCTACAAAGAAATAGCTACTGCAAAAAAGGGAAATTTTGTTCAAGCAGTGGCACTGAGTCAGATTTTTTAAAACGCTGGTCTGTTAGACCTGGTTATTTGAATGTATCGCTCAGAAAGACAAGGGAGAAAGTGTTGGCAGTTGTCAAACTCAGCACAGTAGTCTCTAGGGGCCAAACAATTGCAGGGCAGAAACCCTTAGCCCGTGCACCGACGGACAAAAACCAAAGACGGAGCGCAGCATATATTTGGGGACACGTGGTCCCCATAGAAACATGTTTAGAACCTTGACCCGGTTTGCTACCAACATACAAAAAAGAGTTCTTTCTTCTATTGTTTTGGCTTTCTGAATCCTCAAGGTGAGAATATATAGTAAATCCTGATAGAGCTTATGAGCTTGTACCTTGACTTGGTATTTTTTAAAATGTGCTTTTGAAAAGAACGTTATCCCTTACTTGGAAATGTCAGCCACCTGTAGGCCCCCCCCCCCCATCTTTAGTGTCATGTCCTCTGCACCTGACAGCCCTGCCCTGAAACCTGCCTCCTGGGGTCTGGTCTGCCTTACTTTCCATCCACACCTCTTCCACCCATGCCACGCTTATTTATTTTAATGTTGTGCCTCTCTACAGGAAACGTTATCTACTGCTATTAAACCACGAAGCTAGTCCTAATGACGGAAACCTTGGCAAAAGCCAGTACTAAAAGCTTTCTTTTAGCTTTTGCCTTTGGCTTCATGGTCTCATAGAAAAAAATTCTCCACTTGAAAAAAGATGCAGGTACAGGCAGTGTATTGAATATATAAGTAAGGAGAGGATAGGATAGATATCTTACCTTAAAGTGTTATGTTACCTTTTAAGATGCCAGCTCAGGGCCAGCCAAATAGCTTGGTGGATAGCACCTGCAAGCAGGCGCAGGGGCCAGGGGTTCAATCCCGGGGCCTACTGTGCAGGAACCACCCCCGGGACATGCTGAGAAAGCAATTGAGACTCAGTGTTGTGGTGGGCACCTGTAATCCCAGCTCTTGGGAGGCTGTATATAGGTGGATCACTACGAGTCCGATCTAGTAGTGAGACCCTGAATACCCTGTAGACCTTTCCATAATAATAATAATTTTAAAAAAAGATGCCAGCTCTACCACCCAAAATAGGATTGTCGATAGCTAGAAGTGGGCCCTGGTGGTGGGAATTGCAAACACTATTCTTATGGTTGGCGTCTGGCCGTCTCCCAAAAGCCTCGTGCAGTCACAGGTGGGCCTTTTCAGGTGGCTGGGTCTAGATTGTGTGATGCTGGGGTGAAGGTTGTGTGTGCGTACCAAATTAGCCCACAAACTGGGTTGATGTAGTTTTGGGTGTGGATAACGGTAAGGGCCTCCTGGGTGTGAGTGCTACCCACACCAAGGGATGTATAGCCTGGGTAACATCTAAGGGACTGAAAGAAGGCTGGCTGCTGCTGTCACCGTGGCTGCTTGCTACATGCTACTTTGGTGTTTTGCTGCCTTTCTGCCTTCTGCCTACTATGAGCTGCTTCTCCTCTGCCATGTGTCACCTTGCCTTAGAGCCAGTCAGCTGCAAACAGAAACCTCTACAAACTGAGCTGAAACAGACCTCTCCTCCCTTACCATTGCATGTCGGCTCTTTTGTCTCAGCTGTGACAAAAATAACTGAGACCATGATGATTTGCTGGGTGGTGCGCAGCTGTTGTTTTCAACATCTGTCTCTAGGAAAAATGCACTTACCAGAAAATGCAACTATGAGGGCCGGCGAGATAGCTCAGTGGCCTAAGCACCTGCTTAGGCAAACGTGGGGACTGGGTTAGATTCCCCGCACCACATGCTGCACTAGCCCAGCCCCTAGGCATGCTGAGCTGGTGACTGAGTCCAGGTGTGGTGGCACAAATCTGTAATCCTGGTGCTGGGGAGGCTGAAACCAGGAGGATCACTATGAGTCTGAGCTGCGTAGTGAGACCCTGAACCAAATACATTTTTAAAAAAGGAAAACAAAATGCAACTATGTCGCTTATATTTTTCACAGTAACAGATAGAACTTTACTGACATCTTGAACCTTGCAGATTTGAATGTGAATAGATTTGCTTTGATTAGAAGCTTTAATCAGTTTTAAAATCTCTTCATGCAAAAGAAAATGCAGTTTGACCAACAGACCAAGAATAGTGTCTTGTGTTCCTTTCGGCACTGTGGGGCCAGTGAGGCACAGCACCCTCTCGCGACTACTGCCCTTCGAAAACTTGGAAGCTACCATTCCCCCATCTCTAGTGTCTCTCTACAAGTCACGCAATCACCATGACGCGTACCTTCTGCTTGCGTTGTGCCTTTCTTTCTACCTTTTCTCTGAACTTGCCTGCTGCCCTCGAGCTCTGGCCACCTGACATATTAATATTGCACAGATTAGTAAAATACCATCCTCATCTCCGCATGGACAGCCATTCCACACCACCACGCATTTCCCCAAAACACGTCATCCCTGATCTGAAATTTTCCCAGGAGCTCCCCCACTTACTGAACTACAACCGCATGCTCTCATCTTCATCTTACTGTTTACATTGAGCCCTTACTTAATTCAGCCACGTATGCACTTGCTCTCTCTTCAACGCATGCTGTGTGGTCTCGCCTCTGCGCACCCCATAGAGCTGCTTTGCACCCAAGTGCCCTGCTTTGCATCCCAGTTCCATTGCTTACTTGCTTTGTGCCTTTGCTGCCTCCTTCGCAGTATGAGGATCATTATAGCACCCACTTTCTAAGGATTGTTGCCAATTACAGGCGGAAAGACATACAAGGCCCTTGGAAATGCTCCAGCACATACTGAAGGATTTAGTACATGTTAGAGGTCATTGCTGTTACGACTTGCAAGACGGTTTCACATCCACGTCTTGAGTGAAGCCTTTCACATTGCATGATTCAATTTAATTTCTTCCCCTTTTTATACTTCTCTGAATTATACCTTATATCTAATAATGCCCTGCCTTACAAAAGTGCAAGTACTTATTTTGGCCTATGCTGAACTAAAAACTGATGAAAGTCAAGAAAATATACATCGTGAAGTACCTTGCTCGGCATCTGTCCCACAAATAAACACTGGCCATGTTGAAATGAATTGGCTTTACTGCCTTAAAACTGTGTTCTACAGATGAGAGCAAAACACGACACATAAAGATAAGTAAAAAATGAGAGGAGCAGCTTGGTACCACAGATGTCACCTGTGAAAGACACCGAGGTCGATGCCTTTGGAATCCAGACCCGCCCTGATACCAACCATTGTTCTGTGTTCCCCATTACAGGTCTGCTTAGTGGCCTACCTGGGTTTGTTTATGCTTTGTGTCTCATATCAAGTCGACGAACGGACATGTATCCAGTTTTCTATGAAAGTAAGTTGGTTTTTTTTTTTTTTTCAAATCATCTCATAGAAGGAAACATGAGTACAACAATAAAGGAGGGCTTTGTAAGGGGCTGTATATCTGATG